CAGAGACCCTGGGCTGCCAGGAAGACGAACAAATGGGTCCTGGAGCAAATTAAGTCTGAACATCGCGGAGGCAAAATGCCAAAGCTGCAGCTGTGCTACTTCGGGACATCAGGAGGGGGCTGGGTTCTCTGGAAAGATGAGAGTGCTGGGAAAACAGGAGGCAGCAGGAAAAGAGGAGACCAACTAGGAGATGGACGGACTCCATCAAAGAGGCCACAGGCTGAGTCTCCAGGAGCTGAGCAGGGCTGTGAGGACAGGACACTGGGGACGTCACTCATTCATGGGGTCTCCCGGAGTCGCAGCGACTCAACGATACATAAGACACACAGCTACAATCCTGGTCAAAAGAAACTGGCTAAGTGACGTCATGCTGTAGGGCGACACCTACCTCAGCAGTGACATGTGACACTTATATACACCAAGCTACTTATCTCCAAACCTCAGACACGGCTCTCACGTCTGTGGCTGTGTCACATGCACACAAATGAAAGAAACCAACGCTGATACTTGGCATTAGCACATTTCATACGGAGTGATACTGAATTCACCTCCCTGGGAGACAGGCCTGGCAGCCTGGGACAGTTCTGGGTAAATGGAACTCACCTTTGGAAGCACTAGGCTCCGAGAGAAGTGTTATAACGTTTGGCGGAGGCCCCTAAGAGAACACGCGCCGGCCCACACGGGACCTGCCCGCCTGTTCCCAGTGACTGGTGGTGGGGTGTCCTGTGGGACCCTGACTTCCGCCAGCTCTGCGCGTCCACAGAGTGACTCTGGACTGAGCTGTGAGGAGCAGAAGCTGGTCTGTCTTACTGTCTGTCTCCTCCCTCTGCCGACAGCTATCTTGTTCCTCTCTTTCACTTGACATGTGGAGCGGGGCCAGGAGCCAGGTGGCCCGTTTCCCCGGAGACCGCGGCGATCGGCTGAATGACAGCCACTTTTTCCTTCCGTCACCTCCTCCGTTCCCGGCCGCCCCAGACCACCCTGACCAGTGCCCACTCCCAGTATACACTGGTTGGGCAGAGATCTTCAAAGGGAAATTGAGGGAATTTGGGAAAGGTTTGTGTCCATAGGAATCGCGTGACCCAAGTGGCTAATTCCAGAACTGTGTCTGGACGAATTAGAACAGGAGGGAGAGGCGGGCGGACCTAGAGTCTCTGCACTGCTGCCCGACCTGGGTGGCCGCTGAAATGTGTGTAGCTCGGAAGTGGCTGGTGGGAATGGCAACGGGCAGACGTCACCCCGTTTAAACCCTCTGCCTCCTGCGTCCCTCACCTGAAGAGAGGGGCACGCGGGGGAGAAGAAAGCCTGTGTTCAGAGAGCCCAGGCGAGGTGCTGACGGATAGGTCCCGCATTATAGCACAACAGCCACCCACTTAGAAAGTCCTCTGGGGCCATGTCTGCTGTCGCCAAGGAGGGAAGGGCGTCTGGTCGTAAATCCACTGGCTATTCCGACAGTTGACGCAAGTTTTATTGGCCGCTGTTTCTCTTGTGCAGAATTGTTTTTGGTGCTTGTTTAATCATTGTTAATGTGAAATCATTTCTTGTTGGACTTTGTAGCGGTTTGCAGATACTCTCGGGTGTGCTTTATACAAACAAGGAAGATAGGAGCAGCTGTGGGGCTGCCTGGCGTTAACATTCGTTCCGTTGATTTTGATTTGTTTGGGTTTGGATTTTCTCTCCGTGCTTCTGGGTATACCTTTATACATGTCATCATGATCACAAAGCGGACGGGGGCCCACCTCCAGGAGTTTTTCATTCTTTTTGCCAGAAACAAGGAAGGAAGGAGGGAAGAAAGGAAGGAAAAGAAATAATAGCTGGACTTTATCTGTAATGATTCTGAAGAATCTCTACATCATTTTTTAAATTGCTTTGTTCCAAGAGTTCCAGCAGGTCTCCTGAGCAGCTTTGTTCACTCGTTTACTAAGTGACCGCGGAAAGGCCTGCTGAACACCCTTCTCAGATGCTCCCATGACCCCTGGGGCCTCCCCGAGGGCGAAGCGGGTAGAGTGGCCCTGGGATTTTAAGAACACCTTGCACTCGTGTGTCTGCTTGTTGAAGGCTGGGTGGCGCCTTAGTCACCCACTTCCCACCAAGCTTCTCACACAAGGCCTGGCACACCAGGCTTCGTGACCACGAGTAAGAAATGGGTTCACGTCCCCTTTAAACTGCCAATCCGTGTCAGCAGGACGTTGTCCCATGTCCGCTCTCAGGGCCCCAGCAAGGGGGATGCCGGGAGCAGGGTCCAGTTGCTGGCCGGTTAAAAGGGAAACGGGAGGGCCGACAAGAAGGTTTCTACGAGGTCCGCGTGGGCTTGAGAAAGACCTACCCATTTTTCTTCCTCGAGCTGTTTGCCAGACCCACCCCCCACCCCCGCTGCCCCGTCCTCCTGAGAAAGCACCCATTTCTAATGATTAACCTCCTGGGCTGTGGGAAGTTGAGCCTCGTAACAATACGAGGTCTGTATTCCTGTACAGGCTCGTCTCTCACATCAGGATAAATAGTGCCTCTGATGGGTGACTAGGTTTCCGAGATAAGGCCTCCCTTTATTACGGCTGATAACACAGGCTCATGAGGTGGCGCTGCCAACTACCAGAGACACTGGGTGGACCGAGCAAGTCACATGCCCACGGCCCCCCTTCTGGCTCCTCGAACTGTCTGTCGACAGCATTACTACCGAGAAACATTTTCTCCTCTTTCCCCCCCACCCCAGATCCCTCCTACGACTGTTTTCTAAAGAAAATAATTCCTTCAAAGTTGCCAACGTTTCTTATATAGAGCTAAGGGACAGGCTGGTCGTCACATTTCGCCGTCCTTCTATTCAAAGCCGAGTAACCACCAGGGCTCGGCCAAGGTGCAGACTCGCCAGTTCCGAGATAACATAAAATATGACATAATCAGCTACGGGGACCAATGACACGGGATGTCGGCTTGGATGCCTCCTCAGAGTTCACACAGGAATGTGTGGTTCGGGAGGGTGCAGGTCTGCCGGCACATGCGGGGGGCTGTCGGGCCCAGATGCTGAGCGTGGCTCGCCGACACTGTGGGTCCCAGGGACACACAGTGCAGAGCAGGCACCCGCGGAAGGGGGCAGCCCAGCCACCCGTCCCGTCACTTAGCAAGCGTTTATAAGGCGCATCTTTTCTGCCTGGAGCTGTGGCTTTAGTCCCACCTGCCCCTACCCTCGAGGAGGACAGACAGGCTAATAAGCAATTCCAGTCCCTGCGTCAACGCAGATGCCAAGGGAGACACAGGACACGGACAGCAGGAAGTGCTGCAGAACACCACACACGAAGTGCCAATGATGGGAAACACACTTTCACCTATTCCCGCAATTTCTGAGGAAGCGGAGGAACCGAGAAATACGCAGATTTTAGAAGCCTATCCATCATCTTCCCGCCTCTGGACTCAGGCAGCAGGGAAAGTGGGGCCAAAACATGTCCAGCCCTTATAGTAAGGGGCTGACGGGGAGTTCTGACAACAGAAGCTGCACCCCTTCCTCAGCAACTGGTTCTCTCTCGCTCGCTCTCTCTCTCTCTCAGACACACTCAGACACACACACAGTCAGGAATAAGTTCTGAAAACGATATACCCCACTCTTTTTTGAACATGAGACAAAAATACATCCTATTTGGAAGCACATTCTCAACATCGCAGAAGAAAAGGGGCCAGGAGATGTCAGCTTCTTACCTTCCGATCTGAAGGCGCCTCGATGCTGGCGAAGCATCTGTCAGTTACTTGGGGGGGTGGGGGGGCATCGAATGCAAATGAAGAGGAAGCGCCCCTAATGAGAAGGCGCTCGTTTTCCTCTCCACTCACCTTTTCTCCTTTTCTGCGTGGCCAGCAGGGACTCTCTTAGCTCGTGCCACTGCTACTGGGTGGCTTTTCCTAAGAATCATCCAACTATCCAGAGTCCCACGAATGGCCACTGAGAAGGGAATTTTTTTAAAGTGAGTGAAATTAACTTGATGTAGAAAATTGTAGCACCTCTGGTACTTTGGAGGCAGCCTAGAGCTTGAGCGGAAGAGACCCACAGGCACACCACTGACCCTGAGACTGCGTTTCCTCTTCCGAACATTGAATATGATGACGCCTGTTCTCAAGGGCACGTGGTGAATCCAATCCAAAACCACACACAAAACTCTGAAACCTGTCACACAGCTTCTCCATGCCTGGTGTTACTGTCATAATGCAGTGTTTGTCTGAACATGGCATCCGCAGTGACAGGCAGCCTCACTGCAGACCACGGGCCTGTGGGCTGCACCTGCAGTAGGTGTGGTTTTGTCATGGACACACGATGGACACCCACTGTGACAGAGCCCCACAGGAGTCTGTGACGGAGGTGCTGCCCCCCCATTTTCCAGATAAGGAACCTGGAGTTGAGAGAGTTGGTGGGGAAACTGTCCGACTGATGCTACTGACATCGAGGCCAGGCTCGGTGACTGGCCTGGCCCGAGTCGAGCCCAGTGTGGACTTCCAGTTCTGTCAGCTGATGACGGGTAATGGCTGCCGCTGTGTCCAAAAGCCACCTGGGCTGCCAGGCTCACTGTCTGTTCCATAAATCTCCTCGGTTTGGCGGCTTGCTAATATATCTACATACTATTCCGGCTTTGGTTCAACGTCCGAGCCTCCAGATACATAGTGGGGGCCACCTGGGGTCATTGTAATGGGGTCTGTGAGGCCGGGCTGGGGCGTCTGTGCCTCCCACAGGCTAACTAATGGTCTGGTGATGTCAGACAGACCCAACTAATGGAGTCCCTTTTCCTAGCGGCTCATTGATTATAAACACTTAGCTGAAGCATTTCTGTGTGGACTGAAAAGTATTTGTCCAAATGAGAGTAACGATCTTCAGGAGTGGTGGGGGACCGATGAGCACCTGCGCTTTGGTGGCGCTGGGTGCAGACCTCGCTGCCTGCGGTGACTTCTCTTCTGCAGAAAACAACGCAAACACATAAACAACGTAGTGAAGACCGGTGTCATGCTTTTTTCTCCTTCTTCTCCAGGTTGATGATCAAATGAAGCTGCTGCAGAACTGCTGGAGCGAACTTCTCATTCTCGACCACATTTACCGACAAGTGGTGCATGGAAAGGAAGGCTCCATCTTCCTGGTTACCGGGCAACAAGTGAGTGCGGAGACCAAAAAAAAAAAATGCATCTTTTTATCAAGTGTGGTCAGAATGGCAGGAATTTAACCGGCTCAGAAGCACTCTTGTGCTTTGAAAGGGCGAGATGAGCTGCAGATAACTGAGAGGAGCCGCCTGGCTGTCGCCCCACCCTGGTGTTTACCGTTAGACGTGTCCCCGCAACACATCGTCGCAAACACACCGCCGCGCCGGGTCTGCCGGGCTGAACGCTGGGCTCTCGAGGGCTGAGACAGCCGCTAAGTCAAAGTTAATAAGGAGTTTCCAGGGTTTTCTCCTCGAGCTTCGGTATTAATCAGCCACGCTCGTTTGTCAGCTACTGAAAAACCTCCTAAATTGGGGAATCCTTCCTGTTGGAATCATGTTGGTGGAAGAGGCAGGTTCCAGTGCCACATGTCACCTAAGCTGTGGCACAGTGGCCGCAAGGGAGAAGGGCCAGGAGGCCAGTGCTCCAGAGTCAGCCATCACTCAAAGGGAGACAGAAAAGAAAGGGGAGTTGCTGCCGGGCCCCACTGCTTTTTGAATAGATATTTGTTCCATCAACAGGTATTTCTGGAACCTTCCGGAGTAGGCCAGTCACTATTCCAGGGCTCCCGCGTATATAAGTAAACAAAACGGGAAAAGATGTCTGCCCTCGTGGCACTTAGCGTTGTGACAGGGAGACGCTGACATCCCCGTAAACAAACCTCTGACATGTTAGAGGTCAGAGAACGACTGAGGAAAAGAGAGAAGGGAGCTGCTGTGTGGAGGGGTTGGCACACACCTGTGGGTGTGGCGGGGGCACCCATGACTGTGTGTGAAATACGAGTGCTTGGCTCGGCCTCACTGAGAACGGGACGAGCGAGCAAAGGCTCGGAGGAGGCTGGCCTTGTGGGTGTCGGCTCGCTGGTCGAAGCCAGACTTCCCAGGACTCTGGCCTGCCATTTCTTGCACTCCGCCCTGGAGCTGAGGTTTATCAAAACAAATGCACGGCACGGCGTGATGCCTTCGAGCGTCTGGTCTTGCCCATTTGGGCGTCCCTGCCGAGTTCAGAGCACTCAGGCCTTCAGGGCTCAGGCAGCGTGAGGTTGACGTCTGGCCGTCAGAGTGTCCGTGCTGTCAGTCCACGGCGGTGCATATCTGAGAGTGAAAGGCTGTCTCCACAGCATTGGCTGTGTTATTAAAGAAGCCACGTTCCCCATCGCGGCAGAGGCACGAGCCAGGGCTCGTTTCTGCAGTTGGGTCAGCTCCACCCGCTCCCTCACTACCGGGTCCCTGCTTCCCACAAGGCTCCTGAGAGAAGGGTTCTAGATGAGGAAGGAAAGTCTCAGTGGGCTTCACGTCCTGTGCTTTCAAGTTGGGGGTGAGCGTTTTCACCCCGTGACCTGGCGCACCCCTTTCCAGAGCGCAGTCACGGGCTTTGCCCCCCACCCTCCCTTCCACCCTCGCCCAACTGGGAGCTGCATTAAAAGGACCAGACTCAGTCCACAAATTAATGTGATTTCATTTCCTTCTGAGTCTCAGAAATGAAATGGGTCATGCCATTTGTTCTCAAAGCACTTTCATGCCTGCTCTTTAGAAATATTCCTTATTTCTCATTTCATTTTCCCTTAAGTGCCGTCCCTGGGCAGAGGTAATTACCATGGAAAAGTAGAGAAAGTGCATTTCTTGTCTCTCTGATTTTCAAAACGAAGAGCAGTCAAGGAAGAGGTGGCACTTTTAGTCTTTAGGATCAGTTTGGCCGTCACAGCGGCAGGAGAGCTGAGCGTGGCGTGGAACCGGAGGCTGCCTTACACCTCACCTGCAGCCCCGATTCTCCTAGCTCCCCTTCCCACACTTTTTTTAAAAATTATTTTTAAATTATAGTTGACTTAAAATGTTCTGTGAGATTCAGGTGTACACCGTAGTGACTCAGCATTTATGCACCTTACGCAGTGACTGCCACGATGAGTCTAGCACCCGCCCGACACCACAGCTGGGTACTGCAGTCCTGCCGACTCGCCCCCCCTAACACATCGTGTCCGGCGACGCAGATTTGCGTCTATACAGTTAAATGCCCCATCCTCAGTGAGTCACGTTTCCGCCCATCCCCTCCACCTCCTTTTCCATCCAATCCAGGTGAATAGCCCAGCAGTGATGCATTATAACCAGACGTTCTCATTTACGGAAATTGTAGAGCAAACGTTTTCTTTGCTTTCACGGAATAAGCCAGACAACACATGTTGAACGCACGCATTTCCGGGCTCCCTGTAGTGTCTTGAGATGAAAACTAAAAAAGCAGACTTTCCAAAGCACATGAGCTTTCTAACAGAACAAGGGAGATTTTCACGCAGGTCACGGACGCACGACCCACGGTGCTCCCCCTCGACATGTTCCCACACCTCGTCTACCCTCTTCCAAAGCCCAGGTCACTGTCACGGGGTCGAGAAGTCCCACGGCCCCACGGTAACCAGCCGCCTCTCACTGAAGGCAGCGTGTACACGGTGGGGAGCCCAGACCATCGTGAGGGTGTTGCCGCCATTCCCTTAGAGCGGTAAACCCTCCTCTCATTGCAAAGGTGGGGAAATCTAACTTTCGAATAAAGCAACAGCAGCAATAATAAATCATCTGGCGTATGCTAATGTTCAGACAGTTAAAACTACGATGAGAGGAAAGAAAGGAATACATTAAATATACGAATGGAGCAATATTCTGGAGGAATGACTTTTAAAGGAAAAGATATAGAAGTAGTTGAAGCAAGCAAAAAAAATTTGAGAACATCTTGTTATGGATAGTCTATTTTCATTCCTCACTCTAGAGTGAGAATGGTGTGTGTGTGTGTCCAGTGTAGGCTCGGACTGACCTGTGTTTAAGTCCCCGTTCCAAAACATTCTCTCTGTGTCATGTTGAGCAACTCCCACTGCCTCTCAAGCCTCAGTGTCCTCACCTGTCCAGTGGAGATTATAATGGAGTCTACCTCAGGACTACAGTAAGAACTACAGTTCATAGCTTTGCAAAGTGCAGACATGAAATTTAGAAGTCATCAAAACTAAGCTGACACGAAGCTGACATTTGTGGAATCGGCAACCCTAGAAGAAAGTACTATTATTATAATCATTAATATTATCCCCATTTTGCAGACGAGGAACTGAAGCAGAGAGGTGAAGTGGTTGGTTCAAGGTCAAACACAATGACTCGCAGTAGCATGTCCAGGTCTTGGGGCCCATACAACACGCGTACAGGGCCTGTGTGAGCCGCCGGTGGCTCTCACCTGGGCCTTCGTGTGTAATTTCAGTGTGTGACCACCTCTGTGGAGCTTCCAAGAAAACAAATTCACTTCTTTTTTATACAGCCTAAAAGTTTTTGTTTTATTTGGGGGGTGTGGTGTAGTAAACACACTATAAAAATAGATTTAAATTATCCAGGATCAATTTTAATGTGATTATTACTTACTGTTGTAAAATTATTTCAGCACTAAGAAAAAACTAGGAAAAAAAATCACTTATCATCCCATCACCCTAAGTCAACTACTTTTGTGAGTTCTCTTCCAATCTTTGGAGAAAATATGTCAAATGAGGGTTTTTCTTAACTCTTCTGAGTAAGAGAACTCACCTGTCACCCAGACGTACTGGCCACGGGTTTGTGCAGAACGTGAACTTTGACACAATGACAGAAGCCTAGTTCTGCGAGGTATTGTATCAAGTGACAAGGCTGACAGCACATGGAACATGTTAAATGGCGTTCTTTTACAAAAGCATGCGAAATTCCCTACAGGCTGCTGAAAGCTCACCCACAGGACAGGAATGGCTTTCCCCACTGAGTTTAGGAATGTTCCTGAAGGCCCAATAAATGAAGGGAAACCTAAGACATGAGAGTAAAATTAGGCAGCCCTGCACTCGGTCGTGGCGAGAGGCGTGGCCCACCTGTCTAACCGGCGGTCGGACGACCTTTGCACAGCGCCCAGCGGCGGGCTCTCACAGGTCAGGGAAGGCCCAGACGTGGGTTCAGATAAGACGGGAGGAAGGTTCAGAGGAGGAAGTGCCGGGGACCAAGGGGGCTTTCGACAGGGTCCGCGTGACTCAGCTTCTAGAAGGAGTGCATCAGCCCTGGGGTGAGGGGGTTCGGCCACACTCTCCTCCCCCTGGGGTTAGAGAGGCAGTGACGGATGAGGAATTGCTGGATAAATTTGAGCCCTGCTACCTTTTTCAGATTCAACCAGAAGAAACACAGTACAGTACTCCCAAACCCCTCAGGATACATTTCCAGGTCTGCTGAGAATACTCTCAGCTGCCCCAGGGTGATGCCTTCAGAACAAATGGAAATGTTTACTTGCAGTGTCTTAAGATCAGCAGACAGGCCGCGGGCCTGACACACAGGGGACCCCACACAGCAAACGGTGTCAACGTGAGGCATGGATGCTTTATGGCAGCTCTGCTGGACAGGCCGAGGAACGCAAGGCCATGTGCTGGCTTTGTCCTACTGGACGCAGCTCACTGGAAATGATGTGAGTTGATTACAGCAGAGGAGGAGGAGGGCCAGACGGAACTGTACAAAGCGAGGGGGTTTCCGGGAAGCCGCTGCGTGGAGATGGAAGAGAGAAGCAAGTTCGATAAAACAGCACGAGTGCCCCCAGGCCCAGAGGCTGGCACGGTGCTAGCGCGTGTGTGCTCAGCGGCTGCTTGCAGAAGCGAAGCCTCTCATGGTGCCTTCAGAGCGCCAGCAACCAAAACGGCCCCGCTGTGCTCGGCAGCCCGGGCCCCACACCTCAAATGGGAGTGGGGAGTCCATGTTTCACACCAACTTTCCTACTTACACCTAGTCAGCCATTAAGTTTTAATTCTTTTAACCCAGAATCTATATAATACATACTAAATAACCTTATCAGTAATAGTAAGCATTGTCAAATCAATTCTATATATTTAGCATCTTGGAATGATGACAAGAATTCATTTCTATCCAGCATTTCAAAACTAAACGCACATAAAACATATGTGTCTGTATGTATATAAAACAAGAATACTTTGTAGCGGGGTCGCTTTCAGTATTTGCATATTGTAGCTAATTACCAGCCACTGTAACATCTTCCCAAGGGAAAGCGTTACTGGCAACTCACTCATTATCTTCTATTATTGTATATCGTAGGGAAATGACAGGCATCTTACAATCTTCAAATCATCAAAAAATCCGGCTATTAGAAACTAAAAGCAATTGAGCTAAAACTGCTTCTACCTTCATGATGAGTGAAATTTATCCAAAGGGGACACCAGCGTAGAGTGTTTCTTCAATACCTGCCTTGAATTTAACGGCACAAAGATTACATGTAAAAGAGCAATAAATTAATTTTACTAAGTACATAAAGGACAAGGCCAGCTGCTTCTAAAGTGACTGCAAACGCTGCATTCAACAAGGAAAATATAATCATGTTTGTAATAAAATGTCAGGAAGTTGCAGCCCTGTGTGCGCTTCCAGGAATAAATCGCCGTGCCTGCTTCAGAGCAGCTGCAATTTGATAAATTATCCTTGAAGGAAACGGCATCAGAGCTTCCATTTAATAAGCATGTTTGAGCTTTCAAATCAGCTTGTAAACAAATGTCTAGCTATAAAGGTGTTGGTATGCCAATTGATTTCTGGGAGCCTGTCTCACTGATACAGAATCAATCTATGAAATGAGTTCAGTTGCTCTGGGTCCCACTGTGCCACGTTCTCAAGTATGAACGTCTAGTACTTGAGGTTGTTATTTCACACCTGTTTGAACTACACACACATTGACTTTTAATTAACCCATCTGAACAATAAAGCAATTAATTCTTTAGGTTCTTTCCAGTTACAATGTACTACATTTCCCAGTCCGAAGTTCTAGTGTTTGAACTTACTGATACCTGTCAGAACTACACACGTATCAGAGCTGAGTTAACCCTATCTTAATGATTAAAAAGTTAATACCAACATGTGTGGTTTATTTTAGTACACCTCCAGATTTAGGGCTTAACTAGTCATTTTTTATTAAAATGTGCTGTGTACATACTAAGAAATTGACTCCAAGCTAAAGTTGGTCAGATGGTCCCAACTGCACTGATCCCCTGGGAATCACAAATGTGGGAGCCACCTTATGAGCATCTGGCTTAACTGCCTTCTATAAAAATCAGGGCCTAAGGGATGGAGACTTCACATGGCTTCGTCTGGAAAGGGCCCAATGGGCCATATCTCCCTGTGCCCTATCAGGTCCCTTCCACCTCTGGCCCTCGCTCTCTCTACTCTATCCCATTTGTCTCTGTAGGGTTTATATTCCTATCAGAACATGGACAGGTTTTAGACGGTTTAGCGCTCAGGCACTGCTGTTAAGTCAGAGAGCTGGCGAAATGCGTGTGGAGACGTCCCCCTGTGTGCCAGGCAAAGCGCCATGTGCTCCGTGGTGTCTACCTGCCTGGCTCAGGGCTCAGGTGACCTCTGCACTGGCCCTGTCTCCCACACCTTCAGAAACAGAAGCCACAGAGCTCTGAGGACCCTTGATGTTTGAACGTGGTGGACAGGTGCCAGCTCAGCGACAAAGCGGGCAGGGCAGGGCTGGGCTCGATCAGGGGCCCTCCTAGCAGACGCGCTAACTGTGGCTTTTTCATGCATAGTTGACTTTATAGCAACTGATTGACACCTTTGGGGGTCGTCTTTCCACTGACTCATAATTTTTCTCACTCTTTAAAACCGGTTTCTGTACACCCAGTATTCTCTAGTTAAAGCTGGAAATTCAACTCATCATATTTACACAATAAAAAAAATCCATTCTGCCTTGTTTTTAATTGCAAATCCTACTCAGGGGACCAGTTCTGCTCAGGAGGTAGCCCTATGCCTTCTCCTAGAGAAGCAAGTGCAGTCAATTATGGTAATGAAATGTCAATAAATATAAAAGTTTAATACAGCCTGCTCCTGGTGAGTGGCAGACAAGGACTTGCCTCCCAGACAAATCTGCTGCTGCTGCAAATATTAGATGCGCCTAAAAGACGGTGGTGGCCTGAGAGCTCTCGGTAAAAAGGACAGAGCGCGGGGACCCCCAGGACTGCCCAGCAGGCTCTGACTGCAGCCCCAGAGCCTGACCATCACTGACGGCCACCCGACGTCGTCACCTGTTGTTATAAACGGGACTTTCACGTCTCCAGGAATAAGATCAGCACATCAGTATCTGTTTAGCTTTATGAAGAATAAAATTAGCCTTTTTTATTTTGTTTCCCCAACCAAGACACCATTCTTATAAATAAGATCACGGCTGTCTTTAGAGAGGAATGTATTCACGATCCTATGAAAACAGTTACTAATTGTTGCAGCTTTTGAGGAAGCCGCACGCTAAAGGATCATCAGTGTGGTTCTTTCATCACCCGCGAGCTGCAATCTTGAACGGCAGTGACTCTAAAATACAGTCTCAATAAAATATAAATAGAAACACTTTCCTGCCTTCATTTTCATCGCATACTAGTTAATATTGTGTGCAAACAAAAACGTGCCGGATTCATTTTTTATGACAGTCTATTCTTGGAACTTTATTCATGAGAGTTAAAATGTTTAATCTTATGTGAGAATATAATTTTACAACAGAAAAAAGTAGATATATAAATACCTGTAAAATCTAGTCAAAACAATTAGATGTATGCGAATAACTGACACATTTTAAAACCCTCGAATGTCAGCCCCTCTCAGGGACAGTCCCTCTGTCACAGGCCTACACTGCGACCTGCCTTAAGTCTCCAGCGATGTGCTTGTCCCCGAGGCTGATGGTCACTCACACGGCTTCTCTGTTATAGGTGGACCACACCATCATCGCCTCGCAAGCTGGGGCCACTCTGAACAACCTCATGGGTCACGCTCAGGACTTGGTGGCAAAGCTCCGCTCTCTGCAGTTTGATCAACGGGAGTTCGTGTGTCTGAAATTCCTGGTGCTTTTTAGTTTAGGTAAGAAATCCTTTTCTGATACTACACGATCCAACATTACGTGATAATGCCGGGTTTTGGTGGGGGATGGTGAGGGTCTTGAAGTCAACACAGGTTTCTGTTCTGCCGGGATAATGCCCCTCTTTTCAAGTCATGACTGCTTCCAAGGGGAATCTACGTATTTTCGTGTGTGTGTGTGTCTGCGTGGTTCACCGCCCATCCGTGGATAGGCGGGGGTGTGGAAAGGGCTTATTTGACGAGTCCTGAACATTCTTTCTTAATGGACATAGTGAGCAGGCAGCAGTCACGTGAAGCCATGACAGAAGGTTGAAGGGAGGTAGCTTAGGGGAGACGGATGGGACCAAATTTTAGCCTCCTTGCTGGTTGCCTCCATGTGTCCTTTGTTTCAGCTTGCTACCACTGCTGTTGCTATTCTTGTAGAATATGGATAGTAATTAAGAACCTGTTTCTGAAATCTCTATCAAGATTAGCTAGAAAGCGTTTATAACCACGATGCACATCTAAAAGATGACGGCTGTCAGGGGAAAGGATGCTTCTTTAGGAAAGCTTTGGAGAAGAAAGATAACTAAACAAGACAGATTAGCTAAATCAAGGTTCTCAGTGAGTCAGCTGAGAAAAATCACCACTGCTTGGAATAAAAAAAGGATTAAGGAGATGGATTTTTATTGACTTCAAAGGAACAGATTTTTCTGCCTGTCCCATACTTGATTTCTGTATTTTGTTGGCTTAATAAAGCCAACTTCAATAAACTTTTTGCCAAGTCCATTTATTACTTATTGGCAGATGGCTGAGGGAGGCAACTTCCCTTGAATGAAAAAAATGCAGAAATGAGGTTTCCCAGCATATGTTTTTTCTTTAGTCCTCAGTTGTAAGATAGTTGTGAATTCATAGCCTAAGAAATAAAGCACTACAACAAACTGCGAAGTAAAACAGATGTGCCTACTCTCCAAACTTGGTCCTTTGGTTTTAAAATTCTTCTTGACATCACTGCACAACTGGTGCTAATAAAGGGACAGTTTGAAGTAATAGAACCAGAGTTAATTTTTCACAACATAGTCAACATTTAAAATAAAGAGAACATTTTCATATTTTGGAAAATGTGATAAATATAGCGAAAAGAAATGTTACTGAAAATTTACAAAGACAACAGAATTTCATAGACGCAGGGCTCAAAGCTTTATGATGTCAGGGCTGGGTCCTGTGTGGTTTCTGTCCTAACTACAATAAATAGGAAATTCTATCCAAGTAAATCTCCGTCTTTTGCCCAAGAAGAGTTTTTTTTAGAAAATCAAGAGCAAGATAGCATAGGCCTGCTTGCTGGAATCACACAAATTATTCTGGTTCAGGGCAAAATCATAGTTTTTCCAACTGGTACATTTGATCAGTAATTAAGCGAAAAATGTAATATATGGGTAGGAAATCTTACAGCATCTTAGTGATAAAATATTTAGAGAGTCATCTCACTTCAATGGTATTTTAAATTAGTTGAGTCACTGTCTTACATGTGAAGAGATAGGGATTAACCATGAGCCATGTTTCATTTTCATCACTTTAATCTTTTCTTCATCCATTTTTCAAAATTATTCTATTCTCCGCCAGTGCTGTGGGGGTGGCGGGCGGGGGGCTCTGAAGTGCTTTCACCCTTTGAACCTCACAAATTACCTTCCTGAGCAGTCAGGCCGGGTAGTCACAGCCTCAGCCACACGCTCCTCATGTCACAAAGCTTGGCTATTTCAGGAGCTGAGGCACCAGTGACTGACTAGCCTGAATGTCCCCAAAACCGATGCCTGTTTGTTGTTTGAAGAAGAAAGGAAAGTGTGGCTTTCAGAGCTGAGAGGCAAATAAGAGTTTGGGCCAAGAGTTTATTTTGAAAGGAGCGGGAAATAAGTAACAGGGAGGAAAGTTCACATAGTTTCCAGTTTATGAGTGGAAAACTTTTTTCCCCATAGAAACAATAAATAATCAACATTTTGTTAAAGTATGTAGGTGATTAACCTTAGGTACACAGGCTAAGCCCCAATGCCTGCTTTACCTGTGATGGGAACGAAGCCATACTAGGGCCATCCTGAGAGCCGAGCCCAAGTCCAAAGCTGGTTGGAACCGGCCATCCCAAACCCACGGGTGCCAGGCGGCCCCCCGAGTCTGAAACCTCATATGTTATGACCCCAGAGGGTATTTTATTATTATTATTATTATTATTATTATTATTATTATTATTATTATCTTGCCTAACTATGAGATAGCAAATTTGAGCCCATTGATAACGTGGCAGGAAAGCAGATATTCCAAGTTGGCCAGTTAACGCTGATGACCCAAGAGAGGCCAAATAAGACGCTAAATGTTTCTTCATTGGTCTGTACTCCACTTCCTTCTAAAGAGGGACCCAAGTGCCCGGTGAAAGGAAACGTGCTATCTGTCACCACCCACTGCAGAAGTCAGTGTCCTGGGGGATTGGCGTGTGGGGGGACCACACTCCTCAGCGAGGGCGTGAGTTCCGCGGGGCGTTGCCCAAGGGCAAAGCTGACGAAGGGTCGTTCGCTTCATCCCAGGGTCGGTTCAGGTGCTCTGCAGCGCCAGGCCCCAAATCCCCTACCTCGAAGGAGTCCGCCACCTTGTCTTAAATATAAACCATGTGCCGAGCTACTGCTGGAATGCTCCAGAGAGAAACAGTGTCTGCGCAACTGGACTCACACGTTGGGAAGGGTTTGGAAAATGGACGGGTGACACCTTCAGGTTCTAACAATCGTGCTTTGGAAAAAGAAAACGAGGGGTCTGTAAGGCAGGCACGACATCCTCCCCACCCGTTGTGGCCACTTTCCGACAGCCGGGACTGACACTGATGGGGCTCCAGGGCGGCCCCACATTCCCAGGGAGGCAGGGCCGTCGGCTGTCACGGCCACGGCCACGGGCGCAGGGCTCACCTGCTCTGCTCCTGCCAAACCACCCAACACAGAGTAGGTTTCTCATACACATTTACCATGTTCGTGAAGGAAAGAACACTTTTAGGTTAAATCAAAGTAATGGGAACTGGGAAAACCAGTTTAGAAAAAAAATACAAGCACAAAACTGAAGAGGGGGAGGCTGGCACGTAGATCCTACGGATAAATGCTACAGCATCTGACATCTTTCTCACTTTAGACGGTAAGGATACGTATGTCTTCACACTGCGAGGGGGATACTTATAGAGACAATGAGACTATACAGAACCCTTCTTTGTGAACAAGATAATAAATGGAATTTAGTACCGACAATGAGTATTTAGGTTGTGTTTGAATTTATGACACTAAGAGTGTCAGATGCCAAAACGAGAGAGAACGGAAGTCGCGGCAGCACTTTTCTTCCACAGGGTCAATAATATCTACAGATGGGTAACTCACTTCGTCTCTCCCTCTCGGAGGGAAGGGACCACAAGGTCACCTCCCTCCCATTTCGTAGCTGAAGAAACAAAACTAGGCGACTCGCCCAGCCTGTTCTGCTCAGTGGCGGGTCGGGAGCTACCCACCCCACAGCGGTCCGCGACCTCGCTCCTGCCCCGGGACATGTGAACTCACCGATTGGTATTTTAAGGTACTCCGTACACACAACACACTGAGGCAGCACCTACGCAGACCCAGAGATGTGGGAATTAGGACAGTCATCGCCGGAACAGTCACCAGAAAGACCAGCCTCCCTTGGGCCGGGCCGGGAACCGCTTTACATGAATTTCCATCTTTACTGAATACGCTTTTTGTTTTATTGATGGTTTCCTTTGCTGTGAAAAAACTTTTAAGTTTGATGTAATCCCATATGTTCATTTTTTCTTTTACTTCCCTTGCCTGTGGGGATGTATCAGTAAAAATATTGCTCAGGGTAATGTCTGCAAATTTACTCCCTATATTTTTTTCTAGGAGTTTTATGGTTTCAGGTCTTACATTTAAGTCTTTAATCCATTTTGAATTTGTTCTTGTGTATGGCGTAAGGAGGTTGTCCCATTTCATTTTTTTGCATGTATCCATCCAATTTTCCCAGCACCATTTATTAAATAGACTATCTTCACCCCAATGTAAATTCTTGCTTCCCTTGTCATAGACTAACTGCCCGTATATGCCTGGATTTAATTCTGGGCTCTCTATTCTGTTCCATTGATCTATATGCCTATTTTTATGCCAGTACCATACTGTTTAGATTACTGTGGCCTTGTAGTACGTTCTAATGTCTGGAAGCGTGATCCCCCCGACTTTGTTCTTATTTCTCAGGATTGC